CCTCAACCTCACCCTCACCCTCCACTCCACCCATACCCCCCCCCCANCCCCCCCCCCCCCCAAACCCCAAACCCAAATCCAGCTCTACACCACAGTCGTAATACCATTCATGGAAATTTACTGAGAATCGCTATGTTCCCCAGATATTACGATGCAGAAGCAGCGGGACCTGAGCGACAGGTGGATCCAACACCAGCGGAGTGAAAACAAGGTTACCCCAACATGGAGTTGTATCTTCTGCCCTCATAGGGCCATCTTTAACGCAGAAGCGGCGCTCTGGGAGCATGCTCTGGCGGATCACAAGGCGCGGCTACTGGAATATGCGAACCAAGACGATCTGGAGGCCTACCGGAAGAGGTTTGGCGATGAATGTGCGCTGAAGAAGTGAGTGTTCCCATACGCTTGTAGGCAAGACGACCAGTTGAGATTGCTTCGCCGAAAGACGTATAGAGTGGACAAACATCTCACTGCCTTCCCAATACAAGGCATATCAGGCTGACCAAGGCGATCTTTTGCAGATCAACACGAGAGAACTCTTCGCCACGAAAACCGAATTACAATGACGCAAACAAGGCTCAGCCAGAACCGCAGCCCGGCTCACAAAGCAAACGTCCTCTGTCGTCGCCGACCCAACGCTCTCTTCCGGGTCTCGCCGCTCTGAATATAAGCACACCACGGGGAAGTGAGGATATTGGTATGCAAGATTTGAGCGAGGCCGACCAGACTACAGCAGGAGAGCAACCTAGGAAACGTGCCGCCATCGGTGACGGCATCTCAGCAGGTAGTGCTAGCCCATTCCGCGATTCGTCAGCCTCGCCTCCTCCACGAGGTTCAAAAACAAGACCTACCTCGGCGCCGAACGGGTCGGCAAGTAACATTAAGGAGAGAGATATGTTTGACAGACCAAGTGTTGGGAATAAGAAACTCTGGACCGAGGCCTCCGGACCCCCACCGAGGTCCGCCGTTGACCTGTCGAATGTTGCTAGTACCCCGCGATCAAGAGCCCAGGCTTTCCATCCTCGGCCTCGAAAACCAAATCAACAAGGTCCGAGACTAACCCCCCAAAGTCCCTTTTCAAACGCATCTATTCTCGGCAACAGCTCTTCTTCTCCCCAAAACCGACAAACACGAGAAGACAACTACGACATCATCTTGCAGCCGGAGACGCGGCCCATCAGTCAGGAAAAACTTGTCGCAGAGGTCAAAGGCATCTATGCTGGCCTTGTGATGGTGGAAGCCAAGTGCATAGAGGTCGATCGCAAGCAAGCAACTCTCTCCCAAACAGATCCTCCATCTCAGCCGAAGCTCAACAACGAACAATGGCAGGCGCTCATTGCACTTCACCGAACGCTTCTTCATGAGCACCACGATTTCTTCCTCGCAAGTCAACACCCATCAGCCTCCCCCGGGCTGAGACGACTTGCGTCGAAGTACGCAATGCCTGCCCGCATGTGGCGACACGGGATCCACTCGTTCCTCGAGCTCTTGAGGCACAGACTGCCAGCGTCTCTCGATCATATGCTTGCCTTTATTTACTTGGCGTACTCGATGATGGGTCTCCTGTATGAGACGGTACCAGCATTCGAGGACACATGGATCGAATGCCTCGGAGATTTGGGAAGATACCGGATGGCCATCGAGGACGACGACCTTCGGGACAGAGAGGTCTGGACCGGCGTTGCGAGACATTGGTATTCCAAGGCTTCTGACAAGGCTCCCGAGACCGGGAGACTGTATCACCACCTTGCGATCCTTGCCAGACCCAATGCTTTGCAACAGCTATTCTACTATTCAAAGTCACTTTGCGTGGTTACTCCTTTCACCTCGGCACGGGAATCGATCTTGACACTCTTCGAGCCCGTATTAAATGCAGACAACTCTCATGGCCAATACCTGCCACCCTTCGATATGGCATTCGTCAAAGCCCACGGACTTCTCTTCACCAACAAGAACATGGAAAAATTCCGGCCAACTGTTGACGAATTTTTGGGACTGCTTGACAACCAAATTGGCCGAGTGACCCGCAAGTTTATGGAACAAGGTTACTGCATTGCAGTTGCTAATATCGCTGCAATGCTTGGATTCGCCTCCAGTGAAAAAACCCCAAATCCACTATTCCAGGCGATGACTGGGAGCGAGGCAGACGTCTCGTGCGTCGAAATGGCTGGCGAGGACAGTCTTGCAGTGAATGCCTTTAAGCGTGCCCGGCAATTGAGCAACGAGACTCTGGAGATCGTTCTTCGCAGAATTGGGGATCCCAATGTCTTGCCCTTTGTACATGTCACACTCGTATTCATGAATCATTTGGCTTACCATCCTCGCGCGATGGACTTGCTCGCACCATATTTTCCCTGGCAGTCTTTAGCAGTCATGTTGAACACGATACTAGAGCCTTACTCAACGCCAGCTCGTATCGAAAGCACGGAATTTCCCTTACCGATCAAGGATGATGTTCGCCCATTTCCAGAAGACTTCGCCATGCGCGGACTCTTGTGGGCAGAAAACTACTACCCTGAAAAGTGGTTCACCAATGACAAGATTGACGACGCTGAGAAATACCTCGAGGTTGCTTCAATGACTGATGATCGTAAAGAACGAATTCTTTTCCTTGCATGTCGGTTGGCAACTACGTGCGACTCTTTCTGCTACGATGGCACCTCAAAGCGGTTCTCAATAGCCTCGATCAAGTCCGAATTGCCTCCCACCTCCTAATTCGCTATGGGCCTCCACTTGAGATGAAGTAAGGATTTTCTCGGATTTCTTGTAGTGCCTATTGGAAAGCTGAGATGCAGCTACGATCTCTGGCTTCACACACGAACTGTACAGTAAGCTTTCTCTATCCCGGTCAGGTTTACAGATCATGACCTTTTCATGGTTTCCTGCCAAGTGATCTCATCTGACACCTACAGGACTTTTAACAAGAAGATGCCGCGCTCGATGACATGGCTCAGCAGACCCTGCGCGTCGTAATATACTTTTGGAATACTGCGCTGATGTTTTTCTTTCCGCGTTGAAAGCGTAGACATACACTGGCTATAATCCTAATGACATGCTCAGTCCACAAGAGTTCTGCTTGTAAAATGTGGATGAAGGAACTTGTACGTGGTGGAGAGTCTTATTGGCTAACTAGAGCTGTGGAGTGGAGTTTGCGTGGGGGGGGGGGTTTGTGGATGGGGGATATCAGGAGGATATTTTGTCAGCAGCAGAGGATTCCTCATCATGTAACCTACTCAGTGTTAAAGCAATAATAGCCACGAAGATTTCTACCAGCCACTTATCCGATCAGACCACGCCTTCTTCTGTTCTCAAAATTTGCCTCGCGTGCATCAGAAGCTCTCTGACTGGGCCCGGTTTCGTTGACTAGAACCAACGATCACCGGGGCTTGCCGATAACTTGATACTTACCTACATACTTACTTACATACATACATACATACAGACATGTGTTCAGTTAGCCGGCCGCCGATCGACCAATCGACCAATCAATCAAGCAAGCAAGCAACCATTCTCCATATCAGGCTTCCTCCTCCCTCCTCTCTTCTCCGCGCCCAGCTCCGTGCGTGGAGAGATCTACTAGCTACCTTTTCCTATCTTGTCTGCCTGGGTTGTTTTTGTCTGTATGTCTGTCTTGCCTTGCCTATCTGGCTGGCTTTGGTTGTTCTTGCAGAGCCTGGCTTTTATTTGCTTTTTGCTTTTTGCATTTTATAGGGTGGGTGTGTGTGTGTTGGACTGACTCACTCACTGGACTGGACTGGACTGGACTGGACTCGCGCTGTCTTTTCGTTCGCGAGTGTGTACCGCGTATGTTCGTTTCCGATCATGTGTCGTTTCGTTTCGGGGCGGTGAGTGATTGCTTTTGGTTTGGTTTTCTTTTTTACTCTTGCGGCTGCTTTGCTGGACTGCGGAGTGT